TTGGGACAAAGAGGATGCAGACTGTTTAATTCTGACAATTAAAACCTGGTATGGGGACATGAACGGGGTCAGTAAAGGCAATGGAAATAGTGAGGGCCAGATGGAGATGAACTACATTTTGATGCAGACCAGAGTAGTCAGAAAGTGACATGAAGACCAGATGTCTCCCTTCTAATGCTGGGATGATATATAACTCCATCCTAGGATTTAGATAACTCAGAGAAATTAAGGAGACCCATGTCTGTGTTTATTTGGTGATGGTATGTGTGGGAGGTAGAATTCTAAGAGACTTAATTTAAAACAGAAGTAATTTATTTACCATTAATTGGTAGAATTGAGCATTTTTGACATCCATAGAATTGGGATCTCAAGAATAGAATTAATTGCAGTTATAAAGTTATATTTTACACATCTGATTTTGTGGACTGTTTTCACTATATAGTTGATATCTACTGAAAGAAATTGAGACATGGGGGTGCAATAAATGATAATTTGCCTTATGTCCTGATAAAGAGTCACATTTATGAAATACCATGTTTCTGCCAGGTTTAGACTAAATAATTTCATATTAATCTTTTATACTCTTTAAAAAATTTTTACTGAGGTATAGTTGATACACAATGTTATGTTAATTTCAGGTGTAGAACATAGTGATTCAACAAGTCTATATGTTATGCTATGCTCACAATTATAGCTACCATCTGTCATCATTAAATGCCATTACAGGGGCACCTGGGTGGCTCAGTCGTTAAGCGTCTGCCTTCAGCTCAGGTCATGATCCCAGGGTCCTGGGATCGAGCCCCACATCAGGCTCCCTACTCTGCAGGAAGCCTACTTCTCACTCTCCCACTCCCCCTGTTTGTGTTCCCTCTCTCGCTGTCTCTCTCTCTGTCAAATAAAATCTTTAAAAAAAAAAAAAAAGAAAAGAAAAAATGCCATTACAATACCATTGATAATATTCCCTGTGATATACCTCTTATCCCCATGACTTACTCATTCCATAACTATGAGCCTGTGTCTCCCATTCTCCTTTACCCATTTTGTCCCCTCTGGCAAAAAAACAGTTTTTATGGGTCTGTTTCTGCTTTTTGTTTGTTTTGTGTTTTAGATTTTGCATTTAAGTGAAATCAATGCTTTTTATCTTTGATATTTTTCACAAATGGCAACATCTCATCTTTTTTATGGCTGAATAATATCCCATTGTGTGTGTCTGTCTGTGTGTATACACCACCTTTTCTTATTCATTCATCTATCAATGGACATATGGGTCGCTTTCATATCTTGGTTATTGTAAATAACGTTCAATAAACATAAAGGTGCATATATCTTCTTGAATTACTGTTTTCATTTTCTTTGGGTAAATACCCAGTAGTGAAATTACTGGATTGTATAGTATTTGTATTTTTAATTTGGGGAACTTCTATACTGTTTTCCACAGTGGCTATACCAATTTCCATTCTCACCAACAGTGCACAAGGGTTCCTTTACTCCACATCCTCACCCACACTTGTTATTTCTCGTCTTTTTGACTCTAGCCATTCTGACAGGTGTGAGATGATCTCATTGTGGTTTAGATTTGCATTTCCCTGATGGTTAGTGACATTGAACATCTTTTCATGCATCTGTTAGCCATCTGTATGTCTTCTCTGGAAAAATGTCCATTCAGATCCTCTGCCCATTTTTAATTGGATTTTTTTCACCTTGGTATTGAGTTGTAGAAGTTCTTTCTATATTTTGGATATTAACATTTTATTGGATATATCATTTGTAAATATCTTCTCCCATTCAGTAGATTGCCTTTTTTTGTTGATAGTTTCTTTTGCTGTGCGAAAACTTCTTAGAGTAGTCCCAATAGTTTATTTTGCTTTTTTTTCCCCCTTGCATCAGGAGACATATCCACAAATATGTTGCTGCCTCTGTTTTCTTTTAGGACTTTATGGTTTCAGGACTCACATTTAGGTCTTTAATCCATTTTCAGCTTGTTTTTGTGTATGGTATGAGAAAGTGGTCCAGTTTCATTCTTTTGCATGTTGCTGTCCACTTTTCCCACCACCATTTATTGAAAAGACTATCTTTTCCCCATTGTATGTTCTTGTCTTCTCTGTTATAATATTTCAATAGTCTATGTGTCTATTTTTGTGCCAGTACCATACTGTTTTTATTACTATAGCTTTGTAGTTTATCTTGAAATCTGGGATTGTGATACCTCCAGCTTTGTTGTTCTTTCTCAAGATTGCTTTGGCCAGCCATAACGTTTTGATGATTCTGTCAAAATCATTGATTCTGAGTTAGACATAATGAACATGCTTAATATGAATAGTCATGTGATTAGGTCAAACTAAATCTATTAGTACTAATTACAAAGATGGCTGAAATATAACATTCCCTAAACTGTTTCCTATCAACTCTTCATCTTTTGACTATAGGCCCAATTATGTATCCATAGTATATTTAGAATATTTTCCAAATTCAGTCAATGCTTGAGTAAAGTTTAAAGTATTATAAAATACTGTAGGTTTTTCTTGGGAGAAACATAAAATAATTTAAGAGATTGATATTTTGAAAAATAGAATCAGGGTAGGTTTTCTCACATTATACATATTACTTGCAAAATATGGATAGTTTTATATTTTATAGAAAAATTATATTGTTGATATGCATGATTTTACTTTAAACTGCTTCTGTTTCTGCTTGGTACAAAATTCTTATTTTATATTAAGGAAATCCTGAAATGACTTATGTGATTATTTTTTCTATTCAGGAATATGAAACATTTGGTGGTAAAAATACAAAATAATTTGAAAAGTAAGAGGGTATAGGTCTATCTTGCTCTGCTCAGCATAGCTAAAACACTGATTTGAATGCTCTTTTTGAAAGTTTTGTACCTATTTTTCAGTTTTAATATCTTTTTTTGCTCAAGTTCTACATTAATGAATAAATATGTAGAATACCTTTGTCATATTTACGTCGTCTTAGATCAGATCTATTAGAATAATTCTCAAGTTTTCAAACTCTTGCAAAGTTATTTTTTAAAACATGCATTTTACTGCTTGAGGTAAATATTTAACTTTGATTTTCAGTATTAATGCTTAAACCAGTATGTTCAAAAACTGTGAGAAGAGTAATTTAATAGACATACTTTATATCTAGAAATGTACTCATATTCAAAACTCTCTATTCCCTGTCTTTAAAAATTGTCTGATCTTTATTCATCAGGCTGGAGTGAGGGGTCACAGCAGGCATAGTTCAAGGGAACAGAGTGAGTCAAATTTGAAAAAAATAAGGTCAGTACTAGTGCAGTAATGTTTAATATCAGATCTGAAAGGTGAGTATATGATCATCAATAACCCATAAAGCAAGTGATAGGGAATTAAATTCATCAGAAATTTTAAGAGCCCAAAGGAAAAGGGAAATTTTTTCTCTCTCCTCCTTTTTTCAATGACAGGCTAGCTGGATATAGTATATATAGTATATATAGTATACTTGGCTGCATATTTTTCTCATTTAGTGCTCTGAATATATCATACCAGTCCTTTCTGGCCTGACAGATATCTGTGGATAGGTCTGTTGCCACTCTAATGCTTCTACCATTGTAGGTTACAGACCTCTTCTCCTGTGCTGCTTTCAGAATTTTCTCTTTTTCACTGAGACTCATAAGTTTTATTATTAGATGTTGGGATGTTGACCTATTTTTATTGATTTTGAGGGGGGTTCTCTGTGCCTCCTGGATTTTGATGCCTGTTTCCTTCCCCAAATTAGGGAAGTTCTCTGCTATAATTTGTTCCAATATACCTTCTGCCCCTCTCTCTCTTTCTTCTTCTTCTGGGATCCCAATTATTCTAATATTGTTTCATTTTATGGAATCACTTATCTCTCGAATTCTGCCCTCGTGATCCAGGAGTTGTTTATCTCTCTTCTTCTCAGCTTCTTTATTCTCCGTCATTTGGGTTGTATATCACTAATTCTCTCTTCTGCCTCATTTATCCTAGCAGTTAGAGCCTCCATTTTTTATTGTACCTCATTAATAGCCTTTTTGATTTCGACTTGGTTAGATTTTAGTTCTTTTATTTCTCCAGAAAGGGTTTTTCTACTATCTTCCATGCTTTTTGCGAGCCCAGCTAGTATCTTTAAAATCGTCATTCTGAACTCTAGTTCTAACATTTTTCTAATGTCAGTATTGATTAGGTCCCTGGCAGTCGGTACTGCCTCTTGTTCTTTTTTTTGAAGTGATTTTTTCCATCTTGTCATTTTGTCCAGAGAATAGATGAATGAGAGAACAAAATGCTAACAGGGTAACAATGACCCCAGAAAAATATACACTAAACAAATCAGAAGAGACTGAGGGAAAAGAAAGGGAAAGAAAGAAAAAAGAAAAAAAAAAGAAAAAAACAGAATATGATCAAATATGATCAGGCTGGTGCATATATCAGTGCCACACCCTAGATTTTGGGCATATTTTGGTCTGTTAGAAGAAAGTGCCTCCCAAAATTTTAAAGAAAGAAAAACTTATATATGTACAAAAATAAGGGTAAATATGATGAAGAGATGGAATATGACTGTAAAGATGAAAATTATAAAAGATTTTATAAAAGGAATTGATAATACAAGAAGTTGATAATATAAGAAGAACTCTGAGCACCTAGTTTGGGTACCCTTGTAAACAATGAAACCTTGAAAAAAGAAAGAAGAGGATTAAAAAAAATAAAGGAGAGAATGTAATGAGGCAGGAGACTAGAACAAAGCCATACACTAGAGATTTAGGGTATATTTTGGTCTGTTAGAAGAAACTATATCCCACAATTTTAAAGAGAGAACAACTTATACCATAAATAAGGTTAACTACTATGAAGGGATAGAATATGACTCTAAAAATGTAAAATAAAAAAGATTTTTTAAAAAGGGATTGCATTTGAAGACCAGGATGTTGATAAATCACGAGGCCCACTGCTGAGAGATGGTGGCTCAGATGGGACAGTTGCCAGGGATGGCAGAGTGTGAGGATGGGGCGGGTGTCCGGGCTGCTCTCCTGGACGCTAAGGCGAGTCCTGTGGCTCTCCGGCCTCTTTGAGTGGGGAGGTGCCTGGCAGCCCTGGATCATGGATGAAAAAGCGCTAGAGGTTTATGGTAACTAATTTTACCCAGGACAGCATTTGGTGTTATTTGATTCGAACTATCCGGGACCCAGAGAAGCCCAATACTTTCAAAGAACTGGAAGTGGTAACAGAAAGTAGTGTGGAGGTTCAGGAGATAAATGAAGAAGACTATTTGGTTACTATCAGGTTCATGCCAATAGTATCTCACTGCTCTTTGCAACCCTTATTGGGCTGTGCTTAAGAGTAAAACTTTAGCAGTATTTACCGTTTAAACATAAGTTGGAAATCTACATTTCTGAAGGAACCCACTCAACAGAGGAAGACATCAACAAGCAAATAAATGACAAAGAGGGAGTGGCAGCTGCAATGGAAAACCCCAACTTACGGGAAATTGTGGAACAGTGTGTCCTTGAGCCTAATAGTTGTTTTAAGAGCCAGTTAACTTTGTTTGATATTTTTGTTTAAATTCTTTGTAAAATGTAAAAGACATGTTTAATACATAGGTGATGTGTACCTCAAGGTGTTTTTTTAACAGATGATTTGCAAGCAAGATTTAATTATAAGTAGTACCTAGTTTGTTCAGTGTATAACATTCTCAGGATTTGTAACACTTAAGTGATTGGACAGAAAAATATTTTCTGGTGATTATGTGTCAGATGAGTTGCTATTTTTCTGATGCCTCTTCTGATAACAACTACTTTTCATGTCAAATATTTACTGTGCCCAAGTGTATTCAATTTAAATCATTACTCTGTAGAATAAATAAAACAGAGATGATTCTTGTAAAAAAAAAGGGGGGGGATTGATAAGATGTTGGTTGAAAAAGGGAAAAAGAAAATTTCAAAAAAAAAAGTAAAAAAAAAATTAACTTTGAAAGACTAAAGAATCATGGGAAAGAAGCTGGTCTTTCTATGACCCCGAGGGTCCTCAGACCACACTGTTGCAGTGAGGGTTCCACCCCCCACTTAGTCACTGGAGCAATGTCCCTCACCAGAGCTGACTTCTAAAAGTTCTGATTTTGTGCTCTGCTGCTCTATCACTTGCCAGTAGTGGCTGAGGGAGGCTCCCACCCCCGCCGTCTATCCTCCCGAATATCACCTTGGATTCACTTCTCTGCACGCACATCCTACCTTCCAGAAAGTGGTCGCTTTTCTGTTCAGAGAGTTGCTGCTATTCTTTTCTTTGATCTCCTGTTGAGTTTGTATGTTCAGAATGGTTTGATCCCTATCTAGCTGAATTCCTGGGACCAGATGAAATTTAGGTCTCCTACTCCTCTGCCATCTTGCTCCTCCCCCCGTCTTTGTTTTCTTCTAAAAATTGTATAGTTTTTGGTCTTAAATTTAGGTCCTCAACCAATTTTGAATTAATTTTTATATGATATTAGGTAAGGATCCAACTTTATTCTTTTGCCTCAATATCCAATTTTTCCCAGCACCATTTGTTGAAAAGACTGTCTTTTCCCCACTGAGTGGTTTGGGTACCCTTGTAAACAATTATTTGACCATATATATGAGGGTTCATTTATTTTCTATTCCAATGCCCTATATACCTGTTTTATCCAACCCCAAAGTGTTTTGATTACTGTAGCATTGTAGTAGGGTTTGAAATCAGGAAGTGTGAGTCTTCTTGTTTTGTTCTTCTTTATCAAGATTATTTTGGCAATTTGGGATCCCTTAAGATTTCTTATGAATTTGAGGATTGGTTTTTCTGTATCTGCAAAAAAATGTCATTGGGATTTTGATTAAAAATATTGTCTTCTCATCCAATAACATGGAGTATGTTTTGATTCATTTATATCTTTTTCTTTCAGCAATGTTTTATAATTATCATTGTGTAAGTCTTTGACTTAAGTTTATTCCTAAATATTTTATTCTTTGTGATAACATTGTTTTTGTAATTTCCTTTTCAGATTGTTCAGTGTTCTTGTCTAGACATGTAACTGATTTTTGCATTTGACTTTGTATCCTGCTAGTTTTTGAAATTCATTTATTCTGATTTTTTTTTTTTTTACTCTTTAGGACTTTCTACATATGAGATCATATAACTTGCAAAGATAAGTCTACCTCTTCCTTTCCAATTTGAACGTCTTTTTCTTTTTTGTCTAATTGCCGTAACTACAACTTCCAGTACTATGTTGAATTAAAGTGTTGAAAGTGGGCATTCTCACTTTGTTCCTGAACTTAATGTTGAAAAGAAAGTGTTTCCTCTAAGTATGGAGTTCACCATGAGTTTTACATACGATTTTTATTATATTGAGACAGTTTCCTTCTGTTCCTAGTTTATGGGGTGTTGTTGTCATGAAAGGTGTTGGATTTTCACTTTTTATGCAGCAATTGGGATGATTTTTTTCCTTTATTTTGATATGGCATATTATATGCTCAATTTTCATAAGCTGAAATATACTTATATTCTAGGAATAAATCCCATTTTATCATGGTGTTTAATTCTTTTAATATGCTGTGAACTCTGCTTGCTAGTATTTTTGTTGAATATTTTTGCATCTATGTTTATAAAGGTTATTGGTCTGTAGTGTTTTTTTCTTGTATTTTTGCCTGTTTTTCACATAAGGTTAATTTTGGTCTCATAGAATGAGTTAGAAAGTGTTCTGTTTGTTGGAAAAGTCTGAGAAGGATTGGTATTAGTTCTTCTTTAAATGTTTGGTAGTAAGCTTGAAGGAAAGATGGCAGAGGAGTAGGGGACCCTATTTCAACTGGTCCCTGGAATTGAGCTGGATATCTACCAGACCACTCTGAGCACCTACGAAACCAGCCTGAAATGTAAGAAGAGCTGGATCTCTACAAGCAGAATATCGCAGGTGGTTGATTTTGAGGTATGAAGCGGGGAGCCGAGATTCTGCAGGCAGATATCAGAGGATAAATGGCAGCGGGAGGGAGCCTGGCCATGGGGATCCTACACTGCCAGTGAGCGACAGCCTCACGTTCTGGGGACGGGCACAGACTCGCAGACCAGCAGCGGTGGGGAAAGGACTTTAGGGCAGCCCCCAGGGTGGAAACCTGGAGGGGCAAGGTCACGCGAGTGAACTGGGAGCGGCTGGTGGTTTTAGAAGCACAAAGGGCAGAGACATGCCCCGACTGTGAGGCAGGACTGGGGCTCTGTGGAGGGGCACACAACCCAGGACACTGCAGTTTATAGCAGCACAGACAGAAATGGAGACAGTGTGGCCTGGAGAGATCACTGAAGAACACTGTGGTCTCTCTGCTCTGAGTCAGAGGGTTGGAAACAGTCTCTTCTGCTCTGACTCGAGAAAGAGACACGGAAAGCCGCCAGGGTAAGCTGCCAGAGAACAAAAGCCCCAAAAACTGATTCCCGCTGAGCCCATCCCCCACCAAAGGGGGTAGGGCAACTCCATCCAAACAGGGTTGCCTGAGTAACAGCACGGCAGACCCCTCCCCCAGAAGACAGTCTGGGAAAACAAGAGGCCAGCAACCCTAAGGTCCCAGAAACAGGTCCATCTTGCTTGGGTTCTGGTCAATAATTTGGACTCTATACATTCCCTCAACACCCATCAACAGAATGACTAGGAGGAGGAGCCTCCAAAATAGAAAAGACTCAGAGATTATGACTTATGCTGCAGATTTACAAATGGATACAGATATAATCAAGAGGTCAGAGATGGAATTCAGGCTAGCAATTGTGAAGACAATGGCTAGAATGGAGAAATCACTTAATGGCAATACAGACTCTCTAAGGGCAGAAATGAAAGCTGACTTGGCAGAACTTAAAAATGCTATCAATGAGATCCAATCCAGTCTAGATAATCTAACAGCTAGGGTAAGTGAGGCAGAAGAACGAATACATGACCTGGAAGACAATATAAAAGATAAAAAGGGAAAAGAGGAGCCCAGGGAAAAACAACTCAGAATCCATGAAAATAGAATCAGAGAAATAAGTGACACCATGAAGCGTTCCAATGTCAGAATAATTAGAATCCCTGAGGGAGTGGAGGGAGAGAGGACGAGAAGATGTATTTGAGCAAATCGTAGCTGAGAACTTCCCTAATCTGGGGAATGAGACAAACACTCGCATCCTAGAGGCAGAGAGGACCCCTTGCAAGATCAAGGAAAACAGACCAATACCCCGGCATGTAATAGTAAAACTTGCAAGTCTTAGAACCAAGGAAACCATCTTAAGGGCAGTTAGGGGGAAGAGATTCCTTACGTATAGAGGGAGGAATATCAGAATAACGTCAGACCTATCCAAAGAGACCTGACAAGCCAAAGAGGCCTGGCAAGACATATTCAGGGTACTAAATGAGAAGAACATGCAGCCAAGAATACTTTATCTGGCAAGGCTGTCATTTAGAATGGATGGAGAGATGCAGAGCTTCCACGACCGGCAGAAACTGAAAGAATATGTAACCACTAAGCCGGCCCTACAAGAAATATTAAGGGGGTTCTATAAAAGGAGAAAGACCCCAAGAGTGATATACAACAGAAATTTACAGGGACAGTCTATAAAAACGTCTTCACAGGCAACATGATGACAATTCATATCTTTCAATAATCACTCTCAATGTGAATGGCATAAATGCTCCCATAAAACGGCACAGGGTTGCAAATTGGATAAAAAGACAGGACCCATCCATATGCTGCCTTTAAGAGACTCATTATGAACCTAGAGATACATCCAGACTGAAAGTGAAGGGATGGAGATCCATCTTCCATGCCAGCGGACCTCAAAAGAAAGCTGGGGTAGCAATTCTTATATCAGAACAATTAGATTTTAAACTAAAGTCTGTAATTAGAGACACAGAAGGACACTATATAATTTTTTTAAGATTTTATTTATTTATTTGACACAGAGAGACACAACGAGAGAGGGAACACAAGCAGGGGGAGTGGGAGAGGGAGAAGCAGGCTTCCCGCTGAGCAGGGAGCCCGATGCGGGACTCGATCCCAGGACCCTGGGATCATGACCTGAGCCGAAGGCAGATGCTTAACAACTGAGCCACCCAGGCGCCCCAGGACACTATATCATTCTTAAAGGGTGTATCCAACAAGAAGATCTAACAATTGTAAATATCTATGCCCCCAATATGGGAGCAGCCATCTACATAAGCCAACTGTTAACCAAAATAAAGTCATATTGATAACAATACGTTAATTGTAGGAGACCTCAATACTCCACTCTCAGCAATAGACAGATCATCTAAGCAGAAAATCAACAAGGAAACAAGAGCTTTGAATGATACATTGGACCAGATGGACCTCATGGATATTTACAGAACATTCCACCCTAAAACAACAGAATACTCATTCTTCTCGAGCGTGCATGGAATTTTCTCCAGAATAGACCACATACTGGGTCACAAATCAGGTCTCAACCAATACCAAAAGATTGAGATTATTCCCTGCATATTCTCAGACCACAATGCTCTAAAACTGGAACTC